GTAGTAGTAGTAGGCGTCGTCGTCGTCGTCGTCGTCGTAGTGGTAGTAGTAGTAGCAGTAGCAGTAGCAGTAGCAGTAGTAGTAGTAGTAGTAGCAGTAGTAGTAGTAGTAGTAGTACTAGCAGTAGTAGTACTAGCAGTAGGAGTAGTACGAGTAGTAGGAGTACTAGGAGTATAGTACGAGTAGTAGGAGTACTAGGAGTATAGTAGGAGTAGTAAGAGTAGGAGTAGGAGTAGGAGCAGCAGCAACGTACGCAGGTCCATGGGGGCGAAGGACTGATGCCACGTTGGGGTGAACAAATGCCCTGGTATGTATCAGTCGGTGAATAGCTTCATGTCCACCAAGTTATTCAGTCCATGTTCGGTTGCAGTTGCACCGGCTCGCAGCGGCGCTTGTTTGTGCCATGCCATGCACTGCCAACGCAAAACGTCGTCGGTTTTCTGAGAACTTCGTCAACTTCGTGTCCTGGTGCAGTAATGCGCCGAACGTTGCGTGCTGTGGTGACCTGCGGGGCATTTGGTCCCACCGCCGTCGCCTTGCGGGAGGCTGTTGAGACGGAAAACCTCCTTCGAGCAGGAAGTGAGTCGGGACAGTGCTTGTACACGGCATCAGAGACGCCGCCTCAGTCTTGTTTGATAAGCTTTGCCTAGCACCCTTGAATCCACCGCGGCAAAGACGCCTTGCCGCGGTCGGGCCGAGGAGCAGCGATGAGGTGCACTCGCTCACGATGCCCGCGTTCTTCAGCTTCTTCCGCTCACGGGAGTTTTTCGTCGCAGACGACTGCGGAAGCCCAACGCTGCAGCCAACCTTGAGGACTAAGCTTTTTCGCCAATCAGGAACCACAAGACCTCACGCTTCAACCCGCCCCAAGCCGAAACTATTGGAGGAAGATGCCGAGAGCTCTCGAAGACCGCAAGAAGGTCTTGGAACAGCGATTCAAGGCAGCCGGGCTGGGGTGAAGGGTTTAGGGTGAAGTCAGCAAGAGGAGATGTCGACCTTTCGGCATTGCAGAAAATGTCCAAGCGCCCATGACGCAGTGCTCGAGGTGAAGATGTTGAGAGAAGGGGTCCATTCAGCCCTTCACGACCAAAGTGCATTCTTGAAAAAGATGAACGATGCGGCCTCGGCCAAGATGAACGACCTGGAGTATTTCCCAGCCGTGGAGTTGCATATGTTTCCAGAGGATCCCTTGAATGCCACGGCGAACTGGCAGGTGGAAAAGGGCTGCAGGGTCTCATGAGGCGCAGGTAGGACGACCAGGGAGAAGCTGGACCTGTGAACCCTTCCAGGCACTGCTGGTGCCCACGGTGCCAGAGGCCTTCGGCAAGACGCTGCGCCTCTGCCACAAGGTGGCAGCGTTCGTGTCCTAAGCAGACGAAGCACACACCTGATGGCCCAAAGAGAGTCGGAAAGTGACAGCAGATTTGTTTGCCTGAACGGCTGAAGAGCTAGTTCCTTGACAGGTTTCGCTTCCGGTAAGGCACTCCATGGACTCAAGGTTTTCAATTGTTTCAAGTTCCTATCTGGGAGGGGACGGTAAGACAAACCGCCGCCGCAGGACGCTCAACAAGCCACGTGCATCGCCGAGCTTCCGTTTCCACGGCTGCCCCGGCATCTACGGTCTTTGGCTAGCTCCTGGGACCCCCTGGATCGATTGAGGCGTTGGGCAAAATAAGCATCCCAGAGAAGGACAAATTCAGAGAACTCGCGCAGGTAGGGCCAGGGTATGCAGGTGGGTGACGTCCAGGTATCGGCAGTAGGCAGGCCGGGGCGGGTCGGGGCGGTGGGGCGTGGCGTGCTGGCCGTGCCTTAGTGGGGCGGAGCTGGGCGGCGCGGCGTGGTCTGCTGTAGTGCAGTGTAGTGCAGTGTAGCAGAACGCAATGCAACGCAATATAATGTAGCACAAAGTGTGATGTATTGTAGAATCTGTAGAATGTATGTACACATGTGTAGCAGGTCCACGCCTATATGGCTGAATCGGCTTGGCGAGGGCTCGCTGTTGCTCGGGATGCTCCTGCTGGTCGTGGCCACCGCCTGCCTGACACTTATGTGGTGCGGCCAGAATTCAGAGAAGCTGACCTTCAGCATGCCGAAGTTGCCCGTCAAGTATTTGCTGGCCCACCATGCCGAGCTGCATCTTTGCAACGAAGAGCAGTCATACTCTGCATGGCGAGCCTACGGTTGTGCTGGGGTCTTCGGGGTCAGAAAAGGGATTCCCAACGTTCCTTAATATTCTCTGGACGCGGTGCAATGCGAAAGTCGTCGACCCACCGCTTCAACGCGATAAGGATTGGTCCATGGACCCTGTTGGTCTCGTGCTGCGGTTGTCGTTTTGGTGAGTTTGGTTCTTCAGCCTCTGCGGGCTCGGTAAGCCTCAACTTGACCAAAGGCCTACACTCTGAACTCTCAACCTGCACTTATATGGGTTGATCTAGACGGCAACCGAAAGCCCTCCACCTAATGTTGTGGTGCGCCACCCGAGGTATCCTGATGCCGGGGGGATGGAAGAGCCCCTTTTGGTTCTGGATGCCGGCATTGAGGTTGTCGTGGAGGAAGTCTCTTCTGCCACCAGATACATTAGCTTCAAGTCGGTCCTACAGGAGTGGCAGGAGCTTTACAGGCGCGCGCGCGCGCTCCGGGGACGGCCCTCTTTCGGGGCGAAAACGTCGATATTAGGACCCATGTAACTAGACATAGAGACCGAGCCTTGCAGGCGTGCCTTCAGAAGTCCCAGCGCAGCATTGTGGGGTCGCCTCAAGAAGCCCACTGGCTGGATACTGCTGCACGAGGACCAAAAAAGGGGCCAATTCGTGCTTTGATGTCGATGTCATGTCTCGAGCCAACAAATGCAAAAGGGGCAAGGTTCAATTGGTCTACACTTAAGGTCAGGTACCCCATCGTCCTGCAAAGTCGTGCGATGCGTCGTTGAATCCACTGGTTAACACAACCGTGGAGACTTAACTAAGGAGTTTCAGGGAACAGGGCCAAAAGGGTTGGAGCGGGAGTCGAAAGCGGGGGTGGGCGGCATGGGCAGGAGCACGGACCCGTCAGCGTGCTGGCAGAGCCCATGGAGGCTTCTCTGCAAGGCCACCCGGACCTAGTACCCAGCCTCCTGCCGATGATCAGGAAGAACGCATTCCTCTGCGGCGCATACCTGTCAGCTCAGTGGTTGGCCATGGCTCGCCTCACGGCCGTGTTCGGCAGACGTGCCTTCGCTTTCCTGGTCTGCATCCTGTACCTGCTCCACTTGCTGGTCTTGCTTCAGCAGGCCTTGTCATTCCACCACGGCCTAGAGCACGAAGAGCTGCTGACGCAGCGCAAGCTACTCCGATTGGCTCCAACGCACCTGCTAACGGGGATTTTTTGGCTGCTGGTGCTGCCAGTGGTTCCGCTCCTAGTCCATGGCATGCGCGCAGCCTTTTCCGAAAGTCCCCAGCTCAGCGCACTCGCAGTCATTTGCACATGCGTGCTGCTACATGCCAAGCACCTGCATGATGCCACGTCCAGCCACAACAAGTGGAGGGAGCCACAAATCCAAAGCAAAGAGTATGTGCCTTTCACCGCGCTGCCCTTGCAAATGGCATCAGATGCCCCGACCAAGCTCACGTACGATGGGGCTCTGAAGTGGTTGGCAGCAAAAGCCGTGAAGATGATTTTTGCTTGGCTGGCTTCATGTGCACTGGCAATGATTTTGTTGGATTTGCTGCAGATGCGGGGACAGCTCCTCAAGTACGATGTGAGCAGGGGCCACCTGACGTCCCCTGGCAGCCGGGAGGCTTTCCACAACACCCTCTTGCTGGACACCAACGCTGATTCGCTCACCCTCAACGTGGAGCTGTTTGATCATACTCGCGACCTTCTGCTGAAGGTAGAGCATCCTCTGCTCAACGACACGGAGCTGGTCCGCTTCAATGAGTCCGGTGAGCATCAGATCTCGATCCCACCAGGCCCACTCTACGGCCGCATATCCCTCTGGGCTGTAGGCTCCTACGCGGACACGAACTATACCATTCATGTCATCCGCGTGGCACCGGCCATCAAGGTGTCCGTGAACAGCTCCTTCAATTCGTCCAAACACCCATCCTTGGCAGATGTCCGCTTTTACGAGGAGCGCCGGCTGCAGCGGCTCGGCGGAGTTCGGGACGTATAGGGAGAAGATAAGTCGCTACTTGTCTGCTGTCTTGGGGTATAAGCGGCCCGAGCCAGGGTCAAAAATCTTTTGACACTGCACTTTTTATGAGGTACTTGTTGGAATACCCCACCTGGTATGTTCCGGATGTGGACATGGCCGCGACCTCCGCCATCGAGGCGAGGCTGACGTCCTGCCATTACAGGGAGCATCTAGCGTCGAGGCTTTCGGGATGTGGGTTGTAGATCTCCATCCCGCAGGTCTCCCTGGACTCGGTCGTGCTGGCCCCCATGGCGCTGGATGGACAAAGCAGCGATGTGCCCACCGTGTCACCCAGGCGATGCAGCCACGTGTGCGGGCCCCGCAAGGCCGGCTTCGGCAACGCCTGCGTCTATGAGCAGGCGCCGATGGGTCGCAGGTAGGGCATGAGGTGTCCTTTTGTTCATGGGTCCGATGCTGAGGCAGTGGAGCTGCCTGTGCCACTTTGCGTGGGCCTGCACAGCCCACAGCAGCTGGACATGGACACATCTGATCTGAGTGTCGCCGGCAAAAACTCAACTTTGTTGGACTGGCTTCGCGACGCTTTGCTCAAGGTTCCAACGTGTTCAGATTCTTTGTTGTTGTTCCCTGATCTTACCGCGTCCATGTGCATCATCAAATCCTGAGAAATTTGACACAGTTGCTGTCTCTCGGCTCGTGTGCTCTTGGCCACTGAGGATGTAAATGTGAGCGGCAAGTTCGTCATGCTCGACGATTTCTCAACAGAGGACGGAACGATGCACTGGCCCTTCGATGCCGCAGTTGTGGGTCTCCACAACAGCTTCAGCCTCTCGACCTCACTGTCGTCCCTGGCCGGCAGTGTCCAGTTGGAGATTGCTGTCACCCAAGATCCCACCAGTGCTGAGCAGCTCCGCATTCCACTGCAAATCGTAGCGCATCCACCTGCCGTGCAGCTGGCGCTTAACTGCTCCACCGGCTCTACCTGCTTCTTCTTGCCGGAGTTCAACATGGAAAGTCCCCGTACCGAGTACGCCTTGTGTGGCGCTGAAACACAGAATGTGTCGGTGTGGGTGGACGATCCGCGGTTTACCATTCGCGCAACAGACTCCGCAGAGGCAACGCAATGTACTGGCCACGGCCAAGTCATGCGAACAGAGTACAGAGTGTCACGTGCTGAGTCGGAGAAGGACTGCCCTTGGCGCGAGTACTATGTGCCATGGGATTCAGGCTACGACCTGGTCGTGAGGCGGTCCATCTTGAAGTGCTTGGAGATGGCTGTGGACTCGCAGGCTGTGAAGGCTTTGGGGAGCATACTAGAGACTACTCGTTACGAAGGCCGGGTGAAGCGATTCGAAGTGAGGGATCTGATGGGTGCGGAGATGCTGCTGGTCCGGATGGGCTTGGTTGAGAGTCGGGATTTATGGGTTCACGGTTTAGGGTTCTTGCAGGCGCTGACAACAACCCGTGCGTTGACGATGCTGGTCTCTTGGGTGCCTCACTTCGCAAGACTCCAGACATCCAAATGGCGAAGCTCATGCTCGAGATGGACGCCAACCCATCTGCGAAGAGCGGTCAAGACACACCCCTGCAGATTGCCGCCGTGGTCAGCTCAGTGTCAGGATGTTTTCACGAAGTGTAAGTCTCAAGCGACCACGGAGAAGGTCATGTGCCACAGCATATTCACTTGATTGACCTCTTTGCCTTCCGAGGCCCGGGGCAACATGGCTGCCATGCACCTCCTGCTAGGCTACAAAGCAGCGACGAAGGGCTCGTTGGCGGTGGCCGCTTCCCGGTGCCAGATCAAGGCCATGGAGCTGCTGATAGCGAAAGAAAAGCAAGGCAAGATCGACAACGAGAAGGAGAACGAAGAGGGTCGGGGTAGGGCTTCCGGTTGTGCTTTTTTGGGAGCTTTCCACCCTTGTAGGACGAAAACGAGGAGGAGGAGGAGGAGGAGGAGGACTGCGATGAGTCGCCGTTTGGTGACGTCTTCGAGGAGCAGCCTTGGTTCAACTGCACTGAGGTACCTGTGCTACGGAAAGTCATGGAGCTTCTCGAGAACGGCACCAGGTGCGTGCCGGATACAAACTGCAAGGGCGTCGCAGATGCATCACACATGTTGGTTATTTAAAGTTGCCGTATTAGCTCTATGCAGTAGATCCTTTCTTCTGGCCAAAGGAAAATAGCCGCTGAGGCTACATGCTCCAAACCGCCATTCACCATAAGGATGCCCAGGTGACACGTGTCATGTTGGAAAGAGGCAGTGCGGGGACTCTTGCGGTTGTGTTCCTTCTGTTTGGTTGCCTGTCTCTCTTGTTTGTCGGCATCCCTGCCTTCAACCCTCCCGGATGTTTAGGAATCCTTGCTCGTCTCGCATTGTAGCAGGTGCCGATGCAAACCTGGTGGAAGGCTTCACGCCTCTTGGCATGCTGATGCAACAACGTGAGAAAGAGCCGGTGATCTCCCTCGAGACGTTTGTCGTCATCGCAAAGCTGTTGAAGGATTATGGCATGGACATCAACAGACCAACGAATCTCGCAGGCGACAGGGTCTTGACCGAAGCCGCCAAAAACTGCGACCTCGAAGTGGCGGGGGCCCTGCTGAAGCTGGGAGCGGACCCGACCATGACAAACCATGGTGCAAAGAATGCCAGCCAGGTGGCCCAGGACAAGTGCGGCAAGGAGGCCGCCCGCTTTCAGAAGCTCCTGGCCACTCAGACTTACATCCACAAGAGTGAACCGTAACGAACCATAGTTCGGCGAGCAGGCGGCGATCCTGTTGCAGCTTACGCTCACGTTTTGCGCCCGAAAAGAGTGCGAATTTGGCTGCCGAGCCATCAGGCCTCCTTCTGCCTTACAATGCCTTGCTGCTTGCGAGAAAAACCTCACATTGGGATTGTTTACATAAGAGGACCCAGTTGCTAAATTACCAGCGGCTGCCCTCGAGCGGCATCAGGCCGGTCTCCGACCTGGTTTTACCGTTCTGGATGAGGGCATGCCTATCGTGTACATCTACATATACATATGAGTGAGTGAGTGCGTGCGTGCGTGGGTGGGTCGGTGAGTGAGTGAGTATATGTAAATAGATGTGCATACATAGAAATATGGCTTGCACATGCTCTCTGTCGAATCCTGTGCATACGAGAACTACAGCCGGAAGGGCATAGGGTATGCGCCCAAACACTCCAACGACACCAGGAGGGGATGGGGGCGTAGACCTTGTGGTTGTCGTGGCAATTCCCCCGACCGGCCCGCAGGATGTACTTATGGTCTCGGAGCTCAGGGCAAGGGCAGACACAAATCGAACGGCAGACGTTTTGTTGTCATCGTGTGCGAGCTGCCCCCCATCAATTAAATTCTAGATCTCCGGGACAATCCGGGTAGCTTCAAGCTTCCGGTGCACTGAGATGGGTGATGGTTTGAAGCAGTAGCTAGACTGCTCCTACGTGACTATACCATACGGCCGGGATACTGAGCACGTGGCCCAGCTAGGCAATGCCTTCCCGCTACAACACTTCGAGGCTCCGAACCTCCTCCAAACGCTTGCTTTGTCTCCCTCATGTTTGTCGGACACTTGTTCACATTGGGGAGGGACAGAGAAGCAGAGGGAAAGCGCTGGCATTTCGGCGCGGCACACATTCTGTTGGTGTGCTTTAGCGTCCGTTCTGAGTGTCGGGTCTGGATCTGTCAGTTTCGGCAGCTTACAGTGTTCTCGAAAGCATGCAAGATTTCTGTGTCGCACATGCAGGAGTTTGTGCAGCCGGGAGACATCGATGTCGAGTGCGCGAGCTCAGGCGGAGCCGGCGTCCTGAATGGAAGTCCAATTCCATGTTTTTCAGTTGAGCTTGTAGTTCAAGATAGGCTCGAATGAATATTTGGTTGAGGGTATGTTGAAAAAGATGGTGCTTGTGGTTAAACCAATTAATTGCACTAGTTGAATCATGTCATTCTGTCTCCCTCCCCAGCATTGCCAACGACACTATGCTGCGGCCCGCCTGCAAGCATTGATGCGCCGCGTCCGCCCTGTACAGACCCACTGCAATCCTTGCCACTTCCGATGTGGGTGGGTGTCTTCTTTCTTCGGATTGCCTCTTCTCTTTCCGATGCAAATTCAGTCTGTAGCAGTCGCCAGAATCGAAACACCAGACCATGCATCCCTGTGACTATCAGCACCGTCGTAAGGAGATAAAGATCCGGAAGCATCAACGGTCAGTGAGATTCATCTTTGAGTCGTCGCCACGATATCAACCTACAAACAGGATAGTTACGAGTTGCTCGAATTTCAAGCGCAATCCCCTTAATCCCTGCAAAATTCAACACTTCTGCGCGGCACTTCATCTAAGACGTATCCCGAAAAAGGGAACCCACAAGGAAGCCACTTCGCCACTCCAAAACGAGGTGTGCGCGCGTCGCTCCTGGGGGAGGAGGCTGCAGGATTCCTTTAAAGGGGGCAGACGGCGGTTAAATGAAAATTCAAAACTGTTGACTGAAGGGCTTTTCTAAATCATGAGCAACGACCCTTTCCTGCGATCCTTATTACCAGAGCGGCTAATTTAGTCTTTGTGGGTACTTAACGCGATCTTAATTTCGAGAGCTGCGCTCATGGATATGGTCTTTCCGAAGGTCTTGCTCTTGCGAGCTGCTTCTTGCTCGGGTCATCATTCCTCAGCCATCTGGCCCAAGTCAGCTGGACAGCACACGCACGTTTGCCAAACATTCTTGATGGTGGACATCTGCAATTCTGAATGCCTGGGCCTGTGCAGGTTTGATAGCACTTATGATGCCAATGTCGTGACAAATCACGAGGTTTTCCATCAGCGCTTCTCATCTTGAAGTTTTGCTCCGACCGAGGCCAGTTTCGATGATGATTGCAATCTCGTGTCTGGCTGCGGCAGGGGCCCAAGCACTTCCTCATTTAGCTGAGACCAGTGCGTTGCTGCATCTTGCTGCTCACTGTTAGCAGGAGTGTTGCGCTGTTCTTTCGCACGAGGCTCTGCAGATGGCCCAGCACACAGCGGCATTGAGAGATGCAGAGGCCGTTGCAAAAAGCGTCCAGGTCGCTGCCAGCGAGAATAGCATGTGCAAGGTGTTGAGCCTCGACTTCGACCTCGACGAAGAACCTCAATCTCGGCTACGGCCCCAAGTCACCTGGCAAAACCTACCTGACACTGTCAGAGCCACATGCTTAGAGTTTCAACTTGAGCGCTCGGCTACATATTAGGCTGACGGAACCCAATCTCCTGAATTCTTGAAACGCCGTGTGCTGCGTCTCTCCAGAATCCAGGAACCCAGCAAAAAGTGCTACATGGAACGCACCACCGTGGCAAATGAGGGCCACAGCAGCCTGCATGCAGGACTGAGGGTAGATGTTAGTTGTTCGGCTTGTAAACTGCCGCGGAGGTCTATGTTCGTTAGGGTGTGTGTCTGGGTTTCTTGGATGGCAGGGATGCACATGGTGGCTGTGGAAGGCGAATCGTGCAGCCGCTGGCTTTTGTGGGCTGAGGTGTTGGAGATGACATGAGGGCGAGTTCTGTGAGACACTGTGAAGAGCAGTGCTCACGGAACGGCAAATGCAACAGCTTCACCTTCTGTGGCGACAAGTGCAGGCCTCAGACACATGTACCTCCGCTGACACACCACTGCAGGCCTCGGTTGGAAGGTTCCTGCGCGATGCATCTGCTGGTGTCTGCACCGCCCTCACTCCCGATGCCCATCAGCGAGGCATTGCCACTTGAAGGACAAGGTCGTGAGCATGGACGATGAGGGTTTTCCCAGCACGTGGCCTTGGCTGCAAGATGCTGCAGCAAATTCTTTGTCGGGAGTAGAGGTCTGCAAACGTTGATCGAGCCTTTGTCTCAAGATTTGGCTCGAGTTTCGATTTGAGAACCGGGGGCGATCCCGGGCATCCTCGCTGGCTACCTCTTGGGTGGTCGCGACTGTCATGGACAGCTGGTAAACGGTGGGCCGAATCCCACCTCATGTCAAGCCTTTGGGGCAAAGTCGTCCTGGTCGGTTGTCGAGTGGCACATTTGGGCGTTATTCGGTTGGACGGAAGCCCAAGTGTTCTCCACCCCCGACACCAAAGGGCTCCTCCGGACCGATGGCGGATGGGCTTTGTACCCGTTTGACACAATGGGGCTCCTTCTGTTCGGGCGCTTTTGGCCACACACTGGCTGGTCGCGCCAGGCAGCACTATGGTGCTGAGGTCCCTCTTCGTTTTTGTCTGGTCCGCTTGAGGACGTGCGAGGAATGGTTGTGTTGTCCCTCGAGTGAGGCGCCCCATGGCCTTGATCATCTAGCAGGGGTCGAAGTTCCGCAAGGAGTTCAGCAACTCCTTGCTTAAGGACCTGATGGAGATCGCGGTGTTAACACCGAGTACTGCTCGACGGGCATTCGTGGATGCGGCTTGGCCCGCAAACCCCATTCGAGCCAACAGCCAGACGATGAGGGCCGACACGCTACTGGCGCGACCTCGAGAGTGGCTACACTCATCAGCAGGCGGAACCGAGCGAGGACCACAGCGATGATTTTCTGAGTGACCTTGATTGATGAATGTCACACCCGGAATGGCATTGCCAGACACCTTTGGCCACTGGTACAGCGCCTGCCATGTTTCACTGCTCTAGCCGGAGGCCGGAGCTTAATTCGTACACGTTTCCGATTGACCTTCGACCTTGAAGCAAGTGAAAGCACACACACCGGGGAGAGACAGCGGCTGCTCAGGTTTGTTTGTTTGTTTGTTTGGGTGTTTGCTTGTGTTAAGAAGGGGCGGCAGGGACCACGTCAAAAAACTGGGTCTCGACCATTGGAAATTGGTGCAAAAGCACCAGGTGGTACGCCAAGACCAGCCGCAACAGCAACCACTCGGTCTCCCGTCGCAGCAAAAAAGTTGTCTCTCTCAATGCTCCTTGTTTGCTATGTGTTGAATGCAGTCTGCAGAACTTGTTGGGTATAACGTAGAGTTCTGCAGGCGTTGACCCAGCTGGGTTTTGACCGATGCGAAAGAGTGACGCGCCGCGGCTCTCATCCGCACCGCTTGCCACACATGCCCCAATGTTGATGAAACCAACACAGTTCTGCATACTGCACTCAACACATACCAGAAAGGAGGCACTGAGATAGACAGGTTTTTGTGTTGCGACGGACGACTGAGTGGTTGCTGTTGCAGCTACTCTTGGCATTCCGGGTCGCCTTAGCCTTCAGTGTCCCTTCCAGATTCCTGCAGCCACAACACCTTCAACACACAGCCGAAACCACCGCCCTCCTGTAGCGGCAAGAATGGCTGACTGTTTGTTTCGCACGGTGTCGAGAATTTGCGTCTTCCGTACAATTTGCTCAGATTCCCACAGAAAGGAGAGGAGCAAGACGCAACAGCAACAGCACAATGAAAGACATTTTCCGCTCAACCCACCAGAAAAGTCCTAGTGCTTTCGGTAGATTTGAACAGTCTTCAGTCATCGCCAATTGACATCCGCACTTCCCCAGCCCAATCCCCGAAAGTTTTCCCAAAACCCCGTGAGGTCCTGGCAAGCCCGAGATTGCAAGACTCACTACAAGACGCAGTGCAAGGCAAGTCGCTTGTCGCGGGATCGAGTTTGAATTGCCTTGTCTTTGCGCTCTCCCACAAACTGCACGGAGTGGAGAAGCATTTCTGTATCTGAAACAGTGTGCCAACCTCCAGTACGAAGCACTGCACCCTTGAGGCGCACTGCTACATGGAACGCACCACCGTGGCAAATGAGGGCCGCAGCAGCCTGCATGCAGGACTGAGGGTAGATGTTAGTTGTTCGGCTTGTGAACTGCCGCGGAGGTCTATGTTCGTTAGGGTGTGTGGCTGGGTTTCTTGGATGGCAGGGATGCACATGGTGGCTGTGGAAGGCGAATCGTGCAGCCGCTGGCTTTTGTGGGCTGAGGTGTTGGAGATGACATGGGGGCGAGTTCTGTGAGACACTGTGAAATGCAGTGCTCCCGGAACCGCGAATGCAACAGCTTCACCTTCTGTGGCGACAAGTGCAGGCCTCAGACACGTGTACCTCCATTGACACACCACTGCAGGTCTTGTTTGGAGGGTTCCTGCGTCATGCATCTGCTGGTGTCTGCACCGCCCTCACTCCCGATGCCCAGCAGCGAGGCATTGCCACTTGAAGGACAAGGTCGTGAGCATGGACGATGAGAGTTTTCCAAGAGGGTGACCTTGGCTGCAAGATGCTGCAGCAAATTGTTCCATCATCAGCATTGGGGCATGTGCGGCAACTGGTCACTCCGTCGCACGGGTTGGGCTGTTCGATTGCAACAACCTTTCCAAAGAGTTTTTGTATCAATGGAATTTGTGAACTGATAGGAGGCAAGCGCCACTGTACCGTGGCAAACACACAGCAGGTGCCAGCCATGGCGGCCATGGTCTGCTTTCTTCACTCGCCAAGCCCAAACATGACAAATAGCACTTCCCCAGCCCAATCCCCGAAAGTTTTCCCAAAACCCCGTGAGGTCCTGGCAAGCCCGAGGGTGCAAGACTCACTACAAGACGCTGTGCAAGGCAAGTCGCTTGTCGCGGGATCGAGTTTGTCTTGCCTAGTCTTTGCCTCATCCTTCGTTGCCCTCCAAAGAGCCTGGATGTAGGAGTAATTCTCACCAGGAGAGCAGGAGACTCCCACCACAGCACCAAGAGACCACGATTATGCATTCTTCCAAGTACTGGCACTTTCGGAGCAACCTGCAAGTAGTGGCGGGATTCAGAAGCACTCGCGATGGGGAAGCGCTTTCCCCCAAGTGTTGGCGGCTCGAAGACTAGTGCGAAAGTGCTTTCCCCCAAATACTGGCGCATTTGAGGCGAATCCACATGGATTTAGTTTTGTGTATCCTTGCCCAGGTGCATGCGCGTCAAATAATGAGGTGTCAGCGAAAACGCTGAAAAATAGGACACGGGGAGCGAGTTTTCCGCGCCCGGGTGCAGTCACGATCAATCAACTCTCTTTACTCTGAAGGCAACACCCATAGTCCATGCATACTGTTAGCACACTGTTTGGCGAAAAACCGACTAGGCAGCATACATTCTGTCCGGTGGGCTTTGGAGCTTCTTTCTTTCACATGTACATATGCCCATCGGAGCCCCGATGAGACCTCGCTCGCTTCAAAGGTTCAACGCGGAATGATTGTTTAGGCTGTAGGGCGTGTGGGTTGAGGAATTTGGGATTCAGGGTTGAGAATTGTTTCAAAACGCAAAAGGCGTCTGGACACAAAGTTCGCCTGCCTTTCCCATCTGCGGTCGTCCGGTCTACCCAAGACTGACACAATCAACTCGCCAGACCGTGACATTCGGGGCCGCTGTGTTGTGTGTGAGGGTGTCGTTGGCGGGCACAGGCGACCGACTTGGACGATGACATTGAAAGTGCCTTGGTTCGAGATGTTGGCTTTGTGTTTTGCAGTAACATTCGGCACGAGGTAATTTCATCAATAGCAACGTCACCGACTACTTGCGGAAGAGGGAAGTCATGGACGAACAGTTCTTGACAGGCTTAGTGACTCAGATGAATGACGTCGCAAGTGATTTCAATTTAGATACACCACCAGATTGGTTTACAAGCAGAATGGGCTTGCCCACAACAAGTGACGAGGAGACAGCGGAATGCATCTCAAGGATTCAGTCTTTGAAGCGGAAGATGTGGGACGAATTCAGATCGTATGGTAGCTGGGGTAAGAAGATTGATCATGCAGCTACAACGTTCAATGCGAAGCGAGAGAGAACTTTTCGCATCCTCGAAGGTCTTAATTCCTTTGGTTTGTGGCTGACTCAACCTTTGATGGATGAGCCTGCACATGGCCCTTTGCAGACGTCTAATCAGACCTTTCGAACCCCACACATGTGGGCCGGTTTCAACTCGCAGTGCCGCAACAAGGATGGGCGCACAACGAAGGAAGATCTGGAAAGTTTCCAGGTCCTTACCAACAGCTACGCTCTTGACGCAGGAACCCACCTGGCGGAGGTCTTGAAGGAGGAGGAAGTGATGTTTTTGCAAGAATGTTCTTGGCATGTGAAGCAAGTATTCTGGGGGATGCAATCCATGGATTTCATGCGAGGCTTGCCCAGTCAGGGCATTGAGACTGTTTTCATCTCCTTGAACAAGAGACATCTGAAAGGAGACTTCGGACTGCAGAACTCCACGCTTTGGCAGATTCAGCTCCCAGCCTTGGCCCAGATCTATGGAGAGTCAAGTGCCATGCATGAAGGGAAGGCCTGGAAGCCAGCGCTCGAAATCTTCGACATGAAACAGAGCTGCAAGTTGACGGGTGGTGCAGTTGCCAAGAGGTTACAGGGTCTTCTCTGCAAGAAAAACAAAACCGCCATTCACGTCGAGTGCCGCGAATGTGCCGACACACTACGTCACTGCCTTGGCCAGCAGGCGAAGCCGTTTCGCTACAATGCCGCAAAGCAGATCATGGAAGTAGACGAGGAAGAAGATGATCTTCCATCCCATGATGATGTAACGGCTGCTCGTGCAGACCCTGCAGGTTCTGCTGCGGCCCGACTTGAGGTAGTAGACGTTGTTGGTAGCTTGCTCCATGCAATCGACAGTATTGCGATCTTGTGCCTGCCCGCGACTCTCGAACTATGCTGCCTGCCCTAGTGAATGAAAGATCAGCCGCGGTCCGAATTCGCTTGGAGGCAAGCTTGCACGGTCGTGTATGTGACCTTCTAACGAAGTCATGGAGACAGCTTCCCGAACCCGAGCTGCGTGTACTCGAGCAGCCATAATCAGCAACAGATGCCTGCGGCCGTCAGACTAGGGACGAAGAATGGGCTTGCCCGTTTTCCTCCTTTCCGCTTACTCACCAGCGCCGTGATGTTTGTCAATTTCTTGTCAATCGTGCATTAGGATATTCCCACCAAGCAGGAAACAGTTATTTCAGTGCAGCAGGTCTACGATCCCATAGGCAAGCCTGACAAAACTACAGTCCTGACGACAGCGTCGAACAGTTAAAAAGTTGACCGATAAATCGGTAATTGCCTGGGGCGCAAAGGTGGCGACAAAGAACAACTGGTCGCACGAGTATCATGATGATTTGAAAGAGTTTTATGTATGGTATTTGGAGTTGTACTGGGGCATGACGGTTGACAGTTTCGAAACTAAGTACGACGTACCTTCCAGCATGTGCACTAAAAACCGGGGTAGGCGGGCAAGTGGGACAAAGGACAACGGGCGAGGACGAGAAAGCCCATTCCTCGTCGGAGTCACAGCACACGCTCCCTTCTCGATAAAACACGCAGCTTTACCATTGGTCCATGCGAGCTTCACATAAATACGTTTCCCGCGGAGGGCTTTCGCAGGCCCCCTCAATTCGGGGGACGGATGCTACAGAAGCATCAGGCATTAGGCGGTGAGGGAGTCAACAAGGCATGCCATGAGTTCTTTCCTTGGAACAAGCAAGGAGACTGCCGCTCGCACGATGCGGGAACAAACGGCACTGAGCATGACCAAGCAAGACATGCAAGACCCCAACCAGACGGCAAGAGTGGAGGCGGGATTTGAAGAAAAGTTCACGTTGGTTTGCAGGGGTCGGGCAGCAAACGGGTCGTGAGGCAGCACTCATAGTCTCTTGTACTACTGGCATGTCCCGGTGACCAGGCGGCCGTTCTTAGGAAACCCTGCAGGCAGGCAATTTCAGCGTTGCCGCGCAGTCGGACGACGACGGGAACAGGCAGTGCTCCGACAGGCCAGATCTTGACATGAGTGGACGGCTGCTGGTCAATCAGGACAGCCATGACATGTTAACACTTTGAGTGCCTGCAGCTGTTCGTCGATTGCAAGGGTTTGATTTTTCTGCTCCTATGCCTTATGCATGTTGACCATTTCTTGCCTGCGAAGGAGACAAAGCGATGCCCGGTGCGGGGTGATGAAAGGTGAAGCACCTCCTGTTTCCCTGTTCCCCAACGGTGGATTGATAATAAGGACATCTAAGCAAGCACCATTTGGCGTCCCAAGATGTGAAAAGCTGCCCTGAAGGACCAAAGTCACCCGAACGGTAAGGGCAACTGCACTTGCGAGGAAGACAAGGTGTTCTCGGGTAGGTGCGGCGAGTACGTGCTGTTAAACACGATGCCCGAAACATCCCGTGTTCAAATAGCTTGCTTCTGAGCAGAGTTGATCCATACATGTCTTCGTGTTTCTGTGAGAACGCCAAAACTTATTGTGACCTTGGCGTACGGAGCGATGTGGATGGGTCATCGCGAACTGAGGCCAGTGTGTTCCAGACCCGCGCATGCCTGTTTACCTGAAGACCCACGTGGCTGCCATGGAGTTCTGCAGCGAGCTCGTGCAGGCCGTCTACAAGACACATCAACGTCCCAAGTTCAGCGACAGCATTCAGAAGGCTGCTGAGGAAGTGGAGAGACACCTGAAGATCGCGGTAGCCGAGAAGGCCTGTCAGGCGGCATTGTCCAAAGCTGAAGCAACCAACAATTCCGTTGACCAAATCCTGCGCGGAGTAGCGCCTGATCGCATCCCAGACCCAGCGGGAGGCGACAGAGCACAAGCAGAGCTGGCCCAGGGCGCAGCGCTGGCCCTGCAGCATGTCTGCCGAGACGAGTGCCACTCCCTTGTGCAAAGGATGACAAATGAAAGTTCGGAGGACAGTTCCTTATCACGCCTGGCAGAAAGAACGGCTACAGGACGGCCCCTCCAGGAGCAGTGTGCTAAGACGGTCGTCCAGAAGGTGGAAGGCGAGCTTCTCGGCTGCTGCGCACGCAGCTGCGGCTGGACCGGGACCCGCTGCAGTCTTTGGAACTACATGGATGAGGAGGACCAATCGGAGTGGAAGGCGGAATGTTGTACCGAATACAATATATTGAGAAACTCCAGCCGCGAGAAGATGTGCAACAGCATGCTCCCGCAAGAGCATCTCGGCACCACCATGTGCAGCACGTTCCGGTCCGTTTACCTCTCAGGGGTCACAAGAGAGGCAAGTCCTGCAGCATGCATCTAAAGAATTTTCTGCCTTAGTACTCGACCCATTCCAAGTCTATGGCCCGTAGCCAGTGGCTTACACTGGCCATTTCAAGCCAGAGATGAGGGGCTTGGGTTCAACTTAGACTTGTTTCGGCTTTGGGTCTTCAGGAAGGTGGCGAAGATGGCCAGGCACGACACCGAGCAGCTTGCGAAGGGGGATGCTGAAAAGGTGGGTCAGGACGGGAATGTCACGAGAGCTCGATTGTTGAAGCTTCCTTTACCACAACAGGTGGTGCTTTACATGAACTGGACAAGTGACAGGGGATCGTTGACACACCCTTGTACCTCTGACCATTAAACCTAAATAAAGGGTTCGAGGTTGGACAACCAACAAAGGGTCGCAGTCGCAAACACGAGCAGACGCTAGCATGTGCGAATGCTCGCGTGCTGGTTCTGAACCGTTTGCCAACCCTGCTTCATTGTGCTCAGAATCCATGGCACCGATCGGAGCAGGATGCCGAAGTGGTCGAAGACGGTGGCAGCAGCCTGCTGGAGGGTGGCAAAAAAGAGGTCTGCCACGTCAAGGCAAAGTCGTGCCCGAAGGGTACGATTGTGAGGCACTGGAACGCCTGTGCGGAGAAGACTGGATTCAAGTTTCTGATCTCAACCGGTGATATGTTGATGGGACAGCTTCCGGGAGTGGAGCAAGGCCTGGAGGCCTGTGCAAACAGCACCAAAGCAGGCACAGAAGCGCTTCTGTGGAGGAGTTCAAAAGGCAAATGCTACAAGGTCGCAGGTGTCAATAAGAAAGACATCACACAGAAGCCCGGCAGCCCTGTTTCGTGGGTCCCTTGTTTACTGTGGTTCGTGTACATCGGTCAGGAGAGCGAATAGGGTGAGCCTTCACTTCCAATGGCACATTCTAATCGCCAGCCGAGGAAGTTGACCAAAAGGCACATGGGAAAAGGAAACTCTGTGGACCTCGTTTGGACTTCCTGAACAGCCTCCCTGAAGATTCGAGGCTCCAATTGCACCATCAGCCAGATATGCCATGGGTACTCAAAAAGCTAAGCATGCTTTGAGGCGGTGCTTGCGAGCAGTCGCTTGTGATTTTCAACGGCTGAGCAGAGCCACAGCTTGTTGCTTATAGAGCTGCTGGCGTTTCTGAAATCTGAAAGCCAGGCGACAACGAGCTGCCGCGGTGCGAGAAAGAACACTTCGTGCAAGCACAGATGTGTAGCAGCTCACGACTGTGAGTTTCTTTGGTGATGTTTGGTGCAGTGCCCTGCGACGAAACCGCAGATTGCATTCACTGCAGTGGGGTTCACACTTCCTGACCAAGCAAGCTGCAAGCTGAAGTCCCTTGGTCTCCCGCCAATGGCGGCCGGTTTCCAGGCATGCCAGAATAGAATCTAAGCGAGAGGCTCAACATGCTTTGGGAGTGGCCGTATGAGGGATGCTTGGCGCGTTTGTGAAGGTTCAAAAATCCGGCAATGGCCCAACATCCAGGCTCGAGGGTGGAGGGTGGAGGGCCTCACCGTCCGCGCTTGTGGGTGTGCGAGGACTCAAATCCAAACTTGCCGGGCCGCGGGGTGGGTCAATGCTCAGACTCAACATCCACGCTATAGGGCTCAACATCCACGGCTCAGCTGTGGATGTAGGGCTAAACAATGCTTGAGGGGTGGCCGCGAGGTCTCACCATCCAACTTGAGCAGTGTGTTAGAGCTCAACATCCACTCTTGAGGGGTTGATTGAGATCCACCTTTCGCGGGTGGTGCATGCTTGAGGGGAGTCTTGAGGGGTTGATGAGGGCTGAACAGTATGGTTGGAACTGATGCATTTGCCGCTGTTTGTCGAAGCTTCCGTTTTTTCAGGCATTTGCCTAGCTTGCGACCGTTCTCCGTGGCCAGCTACGCAAGCCTGATCCCAAATCCAACTTTCTTGCTTCAGTGCTTGAGTCCGCAGGCTTGAAAGGGAGTCGCTGGCCACGTCTGTGTGGTGCCTGAAACTGCGCTCGGCGTTTGGCTCTGTTTGAAGACAAGCCTTCCATGTTCTATAGTAGGTCTCTTCAGCGCCTGGAGCCTCCAACATCCAGCAGCTAAGGAACACCTACCTCGTAGCATGTCAGTGTGAAACACGTGAATGT